GACTCCAGCTAAACTATCGAGGACCACAGACCTTCGGAAAGATTGACAAACAGCTATGGGCTAGTGTTCCATAATTCTTGCTTTCTACTTGACCTCAATTACTTGAAACATATGCATCTTTTCCCCATGGAAGGGGCATATTGGAAATACGTAAATTCTTATGGTCATGCTGTGCTTTTCACAGATGATTGGACGGTTGCCCAGGCATATGCCATCTCATCCTTCCCCCCAACAATTTGTCATTTGTTTAACCTAGCATGATTTGTTTTTCATGACCAGTAGAAATGACAGTGCGAAAATGTTTTACAGGGAAATGCAAGTTCTGTTATCTTAATATTCTTTTCCCCCAATCACTGTTTAATATAAAAACGTATCTTAACCTTTGCTTCAAATGTAGGTTATTTTTTAACACTGAGAAAACAGGAAAGATATTTTAAACTAGGAGTTTTTATTTTGTGAAACTGAAAACACACATGAATGTCAGCGAGACAGGTCATACTGCCAGGAAGTGGAGTTTCCTGGATTCCTTGTCGGGGTCCGATGCTTGCGTCTATGCACAGGTAACCTTGGTCCCCAATGGGAGCTCGTGGCTAGGAGCTTGAATGCGCTCTCTGTCCCGATTGATCCTAGGCTAGAGCCTGGCTTTGAGGAAGAGGTGTTTTCATGGAACAGCATTTGGAATGAAAGGAACACTGAGAACATGTCAAGAGCTCCTGTCATGGGAAATTGTTTCTCAAAATCCCTAGGTGAGCTCTGTAGGGCTTCAGGCATATTACTTCACCACAGTACGAAAGTCTCAGAAGATGCAGATCCTGCCTCTAGGCAGCTTGGCTTGGATGCCTGGACTCAGGCAGTGCCTCTGTCTCAGATGTGAGTGTGGTCAGAAACCCATGGATTCATGGTGGTTCTTTCCAAGTCTCTCACCTATACCATACCACCGGGAGGCGAAGACGTGATCTTTTGAACTTAGCCTCACTAACAAGGGCTTATTCAGGATTGTGTGATGTAAGCTAATTGATGATCCTTTTCAGCAACTGTGGTCCACTGTATGAAAACAGCAATGCCACCTGTGTTATCCACCTGTTCACATCTGTTCTCGAGGTTACAGACGTGCAGCCCACAGCAGGACCAAAGGGCTGACCTGTGGCCAGTGTAATCCTGTGGCTATGAATTGCAGTTATGGGTGCCGTGTTTTTGTAAGAAGAAGGATGTCTGGCCTGACGATCATCACTATGCTGTTAGAGAGACCGGGGGCGGGGGGGGGGGCACAGACCTGTAAGGCTCTGGGGTGGGTACAGGATAGATCCTAGGGAGCCCCTCTCTGACAACGCAAGTCATCTGGTCTTCCTGAATATTCCATCCTGTAGCATCAATTCCTTGGCCCCCTAAGAAAAAGCACATTGTGGTCCCTTCCCCGTGAGTTTGCCTGATGTGCCGGGCAGGTCTGTGTCCCAGCAGTGGAAATAAATTAAACCCAAGTTGACATCCCTGCTGTGGCAACTCTTGGGTCTCTCAGTTAGGGTCACTCTTTGACTGGGGATTGAGCCCAGGGTGCTTTACCACTGAGCTACATTGCCAGCCCCCTTTGTAAGGCATTTTTAAGACAGGGTATTGAGGCAGGGTGCTGCCAAGTTGACCAGGCTTGCCTTGAACTTGATCCTCCGGCCTCGGGGTCCCCGGGAGCATTTTCATGTTTTACACGGTGGGGACATACACAGAAGTACTCTCAAGGTATTAAGGGACTTCAGACAAACCTGCTAAACCCCCTGTCCCTGGTGGCCCCCCCACACTCTGCCCCCCTCCGCCCTGTTTGTCACATCCCCTCTTGCTGTTCTGCCCCCTGCCACTCCCGTGGGTGCTCTTGCTCATTTTCTTCCTCTCGGGCCTCCCAATCCCTGCTCCCCAGGCCCTCCCTCTGCTCTGCGCCCCGGATCCTTCGCATCAGCAGGGGAACCTGCCACCTCCCTGACCTGCACCCCTCTCCCACTGCCCGCCTCCTCTTTCCCCTCCTGTACGATGGGACCCCTCAGAAGGCTGGTCCACAACCAGACTGGCTCCCCTCTCCTCACCGCCTTTGCCACCTCTCTCAGTCTGGCTCTCCCCCACTCCAGTGCAGCTGCCGGCCCCTCAGGTCACTGGGCTCCGATCCATCCTCAGACCTCTTGGGCCACCCCCTCCTGGGCTCTGAACCTGTCTGGTCTTCTGCCTCTGTACCCAGGGCCCTCTGCCCTGAGCCTGCCCCATCTAACTCTCACAATCGTGGGGATTTCAGATCATCTCGGCGGTTTCTCTGGCTTGGACTCCTCCCTGGGTGAAAGGCTCGGGTCAAGCCCACCCACACTTTTGGGCCCCTTTGTGCAGGCACTTGGCTGCCACCTTCTGGGAGGTTTTCAGAGCGAACAGACAGCTTTCAGATGACACTGAACTGAGGTGTCGGCCGCAGCGTGCAGTCCTCAGTGTGAGCAGCCCGGGGTCCTCCACTGGGCGTTACAAGCACTGTGGTGCCCAACCCAACCCCTGTTCCCAGCCCCCATCCCATCCTGAAATAAAAACCCAGTTTTATTTCAGGTTTCTTCTGTTTAATGAAGTGTCAGACTCCTTAAATTTATCCTTGGCGCCTCTCTCCCACACTCCAGTTTGAATCCATCACAAACCCTGTGGTTTTTTTCCTTCAAAATACATTAGAATCTGGGAGCTGGGAATGTAGCTCAGGGGTAGGGTAGAGCGCTTGCCTCGCCTGTGCGAGGCCCTGGGTTCCGTCCCCAGCACCGCAAGTGGCTCAGTGTGGCCACCGGGTACAAGTCCCCTCACCTCCTGCCCAGATGATTCCCATGTCAGTTTTCCTCCCCTCTCCATTGCCTGTCCCCAACACAGTAGCCAGGATTATGCATTGCTGGTGGTCTGGGCCCCCTCTCCAGCCACGTCGGTGGTCTTGCTCTTCCTTCGCGTGTGCGTGGGTGCCCAGCCTGGCTGCAGTGACAGTGAGCACAGCTCCCTCCTTCCCTTCCCTCTGCTCAGCTGTCACTTCAGCGCATCAGAGATGCCTTCAACAAACTAATGAGACCACCCTCCCCCAGCATCTGACCCCCGTTCTACCGTCTCCATCACCCTGTGATGGGCATACACGGCTCACTGTTTCACCTCATTAGAGCTTAATCTTGTGAGGCTAGGGACTTCTTTCTTTCCCTCAATTACATCCCAATTTTTGAAACAGTCCTTGACAAATGGTGAGGTCTCAATAAATACCAGTAGAATACCAGATGGATACAGGCATCCCTGAATCTCGTCTAGGGAACCCTGTCCTTGAAAAGACCCAAAGGTTTGAAATGGTCCTGCATAGTTACAAGCTGTCAGTTCCACCGTGGAAGCATATCCCGGAGCCTAGGAGCTAAATTAAATCTGTGTGAAGATTGTGTTGATGTTTCAACCTTCAGGAAGGACATTGTCTCCTACAGGAAAAGCAACCAGGCGCCATCTAGTGGTAGCAGAAGCCCACATTGGTGTTCCTGGAATGTACCGAGGACACTTGAAGACCAGCCTGTCCAGGAGCTGGTGCTTGGAGACAGTAGCGGTTGTGAGAGCCCAAGTCCATCAGAGGAAGGAGCGCAGGAGACTTAGCTTTCTGTTTTCCAAAAAGGGGCACAGGTCATCATGGGGACAAACTAAGATGGAAATGTCCACGTCCACGCATGCTGGCAGGAAAGGCAGAAGTCGGCCTTAGGCCTGCTGTTCTAAACTTGGAAAAGCGTGGTCGTTTCAGTACTTCAGTGAAGTAAAGCGGAAACTCATAGGTCCACCTTGGGGGCCTGTGACCTTTCCAGTCCCCAGCAGCCACGTGGAGACCTGAGTGGTGACCGGGTGAGCAAGCGAAGGTGGGGAGAAGGTCCATGAGGAGATGAACTCGGGTGCCCAGGTGCAGGTTGGGCAGAAGACTGAGCAGTACCAGAGGGCGACGGCTGGGGGTGTAAGAGGAGAAAGCAGATCTCACACCAACATGGAGCGTTTCCCAAGGAGAGTTCCCCACCGGGGACAGATGGCAGCAGACAGAGGCTGGATGCCGACCTGCCAGGGTTTGTGGGGGTTACTGGCACCCTCGAGTTCTCTCTGAGACTTGCCTGTCTCCCTTCGGCTCAGTACACCTCTGCCCTTCACTTCCCCTTGGCCCTGGAGGCTCATACCACCTTCCTGTCCCCACCTTTCCTGTCTTTTAAGTGCAGATTAGTGCTTATTTCATGCTGCCTGGGTTAACTTTTCCCCCTGTGAAACATCTGCAGTGCCTCAGTTAATGCTGAGCTCCTTGAAGACAGGGCTGCCTCTGGGGCCTGCCCTCCTATTGGCCTTGCCATCGAACATCTTCATGGGTGGAGACCGTTTTTTGGTGGGGAAGGTACAAAGGCCACTGAGAGTGACTTCAGCTGACATCTTGGCCCAAGAGTTTGGTGTAGCAGTTCTTCACCTGGATACGAGAGGAACCAAAATATCTGTTGAACTTTGTTCCCTTGTCAAAACTGTAATCTTTTTTTAAAAAAATCTAATAGTAACTAGATTCCCCTATTTGAGTTGTGTTGTTTTTCACTTACCTGATATCTCAGGAAATTGGTCTGGAAACTGATAGTACGAGAGTTGAAATTTTTAAAAAGTAGTTTTCTATTAGTTATTTTAGGGTTTGTCCTTCTCGATATCTGATTTCTTAATTTGGTGCTGGTTTTTGTTTTGTCATTGAGACAGCCACAGATATGCTGGATGGTTTAAGGGTTTATAATACTTGATTGCTTACCAAACACGAGCACATTCAGCAACCACAGCATGTGTACTATTTGATATTTCTAGAATCTTCTCTGTGATTTGATTGTTTGTCACGCAGTGTTCTCTCATGTATAATGACCAAGGAGACATTGAATATTTTGACTTGTAATTGAAGAGATATTTCCTTATAATTGTGGCCAAGAATGTATACTCTGAGGTTGGATTAATTTGTGGGTGCTTTTTTCTTTTTTTAGAATATGCTGAATTTCTACATTGCAAAGGAAAAAAGTTTATAGATTTTGATGAAGTTCGCCATGAAATTGAAGCAGAAACAGATCGAGTGACTGGAATGAATAAAGGCATTTCCCCCATACCCATTAATTTGCGAGTCTATTCTCCACATGGTAAGTAAAATATTAAAATTTCAAATTCTTCTCCTCAAACAATTTTTACTGTGTTCATTAACATGCATTATTTGTGTAGAAGATGCACGTAGTGCTGAGTTTCTAGGATTTCAGATGCTGTTAAAATGGTATGGCGCAGAGAGCTCAGAAGATTCATAGAGAGGCAAGGGGAGATGACCTTTTGAAGATCAAAACTGAGCTCAGTGTTTACACTTTTTATTTTCATGATGAAATTTCAGAATTTGAGAGGGGTATATGTGAAAATTTCCATTTTTCTTATCTTCAATGATTTCAAAAATCTTAGGAGCATGTGGCTGAGGCTTCCCCTGCTGATTTCCATGAGCTCTATGAATTTCTCTTTTCCTCCTGAGGAATCAGCTGTGATTTGTATCCCAGCTGTCAGCTTATAATGTGGGTAACCAGTTCACGGTACGTGATGGGAAATAGCCTCTGTCCTGACTAAACTCTGAGTGGGACAGATTTTCACTTCTCATTCTCTACCTAGCTCTGCTGCCTTTGGAGCAGAGCATGAATGACAGAAGCTCAGTTATGACTTCCCACGGGGACTCGGTGCCAGCACCCAGAGGACAATAGCCAGCTGGGGCTGGAGTCACGTTGCCACTGACGGCTCGCTTGCCCGGCCCGCTGGAGGCACGCAGGGCCCCATAGATGGCTGGCAGCTTCCCTGCAGGTGAAGAGGCTGACCTTCTGTGAAGAACATGGGAGGCTCTTGAGGGGAAGGGCCAGCCTCGCCCCGGGGGTTCCTGTACACGTGTAGGCCATGTGCCAGACTGGCAGACAGCACACGCATTATTGTTCAGTGTTTTAATTACAACCCCCTCGTTACACAGCTAGGCAGCGACAGCTCTCTGAGCAAACTGTTAGGCCTGCAGATCAGTGCCTTTCAAATGATGTGAAAATGATCATTTGGCAGAGCACAATCATACAAAAATAGAGAGAACTAGCAAAACCATTTTCCTTTCTGTGCTTTTCTTCCTACACGCCTGGGCTGGAGTCATTCAGATGCATAGTGCAGAAAGCTGAGCTCAGCCCCAGGTGACTCTGCACCTGTCTGTCAGCACTGAAGGTGCACGCCCGACTCTTTCCCCTTCCCCACAGTGTTGAATCTAACCCTTATCGACCTGCCTGGAATAACGAAGGTGCCCGTGGGAGATCAGCCACCAGATATCGAGTATCAGATCAGAGAAATGATCATGCAGTTCATCACCAGGGAGAATTGCCTGGTTCTGGCCGTCACTCCAGCCAACACTGATCTGGCCAACTCAGACGCACTGAAGCTAGCTAAAGAAGTTGACCCCCAAGGTGAGTGTGTGACCTTCAGAGGACAGGGGTTATTTTAAGATGTCAGGAGCATGGGTGTATTTAAAGGTGAAAAATTCTCGTGACTTGATTTCATTGTTGATAAAATTCAACATGATTAATGTTGGTAAGTCTTTTGTATTTAAGCCACTAAAAGAAAAAATCAGCGGGGAATAGAGCAAAATTCCATATACATAAATGTGAGATAACTGAGATCTAAGAAAAGGAGCACTGCTAAGCCTCATGGACTATTTCTTTATAAAGTCAATGAAATAAACTTTTGCTATAGCAGAATTCAGGTACTCTACTTAGTTATGTAAGAGTTAACTGAAGGGCTGGGGGTTGTAGCTCAGTGGTAGAGTGCTTGCCTAGCTTGTTGAGAGCCAGTGGGTTTGATCTCAGCACTGCATACAATAAATAAATAAATAATATAAAAATAAAGGTCCATTGACCACTAAAAAAGAAACCAGTTGATTGAATATACTCTCAAAAAGGAGCCTTTCTGTGTTTTTTGTTTCTTTATATTTTTAAAAATGTCTTTTAATGCCTTGAAGATATTATTTAGCTTATAATCATTTCATATATATGGGGGTGGGGAGAGATGAGCATGATTTATCTGTCAGTGACACGTCAGAAACCAGAAAAGCCTCCTCCCCATGCAGAGACCCCAGTCATGGGCCTCATGGGTCTGTCTGGGGTAATTCTGGAGGGGCCCTCAGTGATTCCTTCTTTCAATATGGAAATGCATGCTCTCCAATTCACATTTTTACTTCGTAGAGTTCTTCAGACCCACTTTCCTTCTCTTTATTTGTAATTTTTGTATTGCATGTTGTAACTCTTAGATGAATTCTCTTTTTGTGTTGAGTTATTGATGTGTTTGCTTGCAATGCTGGGGATTGAACCCCGGGTCTTGCTCATGCTCGTTGGAGCTACATTCCTAGCCCTAATTTTCCATTTCTGATATAATTTTAAAAAGTGCCAACAGAATTTTAAAAACTATTTGTGAATGTGGCTTCAATTTTTTAAGATTGCATATGGGCCTCGGTTTCACAACTGCGGTGTCTTCTCTGAGATCTTAATGAGAGCTTTTGGTGGCTTCCCTTTTGTAATGCACATTGTTTCTGAGCTTATTCCTTACTGGTTGGTTGTTTTGCCTGCATCTTTGGTGGTAAAGGCCTTTTTCCCAATGTTTGATGACCTTTCACTGCTTGTTTATAGATGCAAGTAATGCCCTAAAAGCCCATGTATGTGTGTGTCTGGGGTTCACTGGCGAGTGGGCTTCCCCACGGGGTGATTGGGCTGGCACCTGGCTGTCTTGGCAGACTTCCTCAGCTGCTGTATTCTATGAATTTTTCTTCTTGAGATTCTCTGGTAGAAGTCTGACGTCCAGTGTTCTTGGAGCCAAGAGGAAGAATGGATTTTGTGGGGGTAGGGAGGGGCAGTTCTTAGTCTTCAGTAGGTAGACTTTTAATTAATGTCATGATGGTGTCCCTGAACGTTTTCTTGAGTCTAAAGTTCCTGGGTCTGTCTGCTTCTAAGGGCAAATTGTCGGCACTCCATCAGAGTTGAAGAAGGGTAGCTGTATGGTAATGCAAGAGGGAGGAAAAGATTTGGAGATCTGAAGTGTCCTGTATGAGCCTTCCTCTGGTTCTCCCATTTTCTATCCTCTGCTCCCTGGCCTTGAAGCTCTAACTCTTTGGCTTTCCCAGAGTTCTGCAATGGAAATTGGTCAGTTTCTTCTTGGCTTCCTTTAGCATCCCTGAATTAGGGCTTGGGATAAACTCTCATTAAAAACTAGAGTCCATTAGAAAACTAGTAGCCACTAACCCCTGTCTCCACAGCCTCCATGTCTCTCAGAGGCCAAGCCACAGTTGCCTGAGATAATCCTTCCATCAGCAAATTCTAGTGAGCAGCAGAGCCTCCATCCTGAAACGTCTGTGCTGAATTCAGATAAAGCTCCATGGAGGGACAAATGACATCACCCAGTCCTTGGGTTCTCCTTGGTTCTGCCTTGGTTCTGCCTCCTTGGAACTGATCCTTTTCTCAGACTCTCCTCACAGGTGGCAAGACGTCTGCAGTAGCTCCTGCCTCGGATCCTCACAACTTGAAAGCTTGTAGAGGAAAATATGACAGAGAATCTTTTATTTGCATGAATTATGAATGTTGTAAGAAACACAAGCGACAATAGAATTGGCCCACTAATATACCTTGTAAAAATACCTGCAATTAATTCTTAAGATTGATTTAACATATCCTATTGTACTCCTTTTGTCTAATAGAGAATATTAATAGCCAGTGATTATACCTCATTCCTCAGGCTCTTCAAAAGAAGATTAAGTTGTAACCGAAAATAGTAGCTCTAGTGAGATCTAGCAGATCGTTAGGTGGGAGCAATTCATGTTGATGTAGGGAGTCATCAGTTTGCCAGAAGAGAACTGATGTGCACCGTCTCACTGCCAGTGTTTCCAAAGTGTTTTTGTAGCATATGTGAAACACAGCATTAGCTTTCAATCATGGACAGGTGCTCCACACATCTGCCTCCAGAAAGAAATATTAAATTCCACCCCCCGCATCATTATCTGGTTCATTTACAAGATGCCATTTAGAAATTTCCATGTGAATGTTCATGAATGTACCTAAAATTTACCTCATTTCTTGTGGATCATTAGAACTGCTCCTCTATCCAAAGCAATCCTCAGCAAGAAAAGTGAAGTAGAAGGCATCACAATATCAAACTTAGATTAGAACCCTATCTCTCACCCTATCCAAAACTCAACTCAAAGTGGATCAAGGGCCTAGGCATTAGACCAGAGACCCTGTGCTTGCTAGAAGAAAAAGTAGGCCCAGATCTCCATCATGTCAGCTTAGGAACTGAATTCCTCAACAAGACCTTAAAGCACAAGAAGTAAAATCAAGAACCAATAAATGGAATGGGCTCAAACTAAAAAGCTGCTTCATGGCAAAGGAAACAATCAAGAACATAAAGAGAGAGCCTACAGAACGGGAGAAAATATTTGCCACATGCACCTCAGGTATAGCATTAATCTCCAGGATACATAAAGAACTCAAAAAACTTCATACCATAAAAACAACCCAATCAATAAATGGGCAAAGGAACTGAATAGACACTTCACAGAAAAAATATGAATGGTTAACAAATATATGAAAAAATGTTCAATATCACTAGCAATTAGAGAAATGCAAATTAAAACCACACAGAGATTTCATCTCACTCCAGTCAGAATGGAGTTATTAAGAATGCAGACAACAATAAATGTCGGTGAGGCTGTGTGGAAAAAGGTACACTCATACATTACTGGAGGGACTCCAAATTGGTGCAATCAGTCTGGAGAGCATTATGGAGATCCCTCACAAAAATTGGAATGGAACCACCATTTGACCCAGCTATCCCACTCTTCGGCATATACTCAAAGGACTTAAGATCAGCATCCTATAGTGATGTGATCACATCAATGTTCAGAGCAGGTCAATTCACAATAGCTAAACTATGGAACCAACTTAGGTGCCCTTCAACAGATGAATGGATAAAGAAAATGTACATATACACAATGGAATATTCCTCAGTCTGAAATTATGGCATTTGCCAGTAAATGGTTGAAACTGGAGACTATCATGCTAAGTGAAATAAGCAAATCCCCAAAACCCAAAGGCCAAATGTTCTGTCTATTTACGGTGCTGACTCACAGTAGGCATGGGGTGGGGGAGTGGTCGTTCACTGGATTGGACAGGGAGGAATGGAAGGAGATGTGAATGGGAAAGAGAGTAGAATGAATCAGACACCACTTTCCTATGTTCATACGTGAAACTCCACATCGTGTACAACCATAAGAATGGGAAGTTACACTCCACATGTGATGTGTGGATGAGGTGTCAGAATACATTCTACTGTCATGCATGACTAAAAAGAAAAAGAACTGCTGCTGTGTCATAGACGACCCTCTTTACCTAATTTTTTCTTTTATACCACATAAAAAGAATCTGCTCTCAGGATTACCATTTAAGTTTTGGAAGAATATTTTGGCAGAAGCACAGAAACATCTAGTGCCACCTCCCTGTCTACCACCCCTGGATGGAGATGGCTAAGGACAAACACCTGCCTGAGGGCTCCCGTCAAGCCAGATTCTCTGGTTGGTTACTGAAAGTTCCTTGCTAATCCTAAGGGTTAGGATTTGTTTTTGAATCTGTTTCAATTTTAAAACCCGAGAACCCCCAAAACTACCTGAAGCATTTCCATGGGGATCTGTCCTGAGGCTTCAGCTGGTCCTGGATGTCACTGAGGATCTGAAAGAAACACTGCTTATGCCCATGGGGCTCACATTGTGCGCTGTCTTCAGTGGTGATAAAAAAAAACAAACTAGGGAAAACAAGGAGATAGGGTATATAGGGATATGGCGTTTTGGGTGGACAAGCAAATACATTCATGTACCCTCTTGTATTTCCCTAGATATTCTGTGAATAGGTCTCCCACGTCTGATTTGAAAGTCTAGTTTTCCTTATACTTTTAGTTTTGATTATTAAAAAAAAAAAGAGTGGCATCAACTTTGATTGTTTAGGAATGTCTTGCTTAATTCTACATATTTATGAATTTCCTGAATTCCCTTCTGTTACTGATTTCTAATTTCATTCCATTGGGGTTGGAGAACATTCTTTGCATTATTTCAATGCTTTTCAATTTATAATTCTTATGGCAAGATTGTAACAAATCACCAAGTCGATCTTAAAGCAAGAGACAGAACATTTATTCACCAGCTGGCGGGCCAGGGGGCAGGCTGCAAGTATACACCCTTCAACTCCCTCCAGGGGTTTGAGTACATCTTTTATACCATAAGTAAAGCATGTCAGTACATTAATTATAAATGGCTGTTGCTATAATTCAAAACCATAAACAAATATCATGAGATCTAAAATCATAAGCGTCAGGGCAAGTGGGTCAAAATGACCCTAGTTGAGTACAATGTAAGGAACGGTTATTAACATCTAGA